CTTTCCAAACCAATGTTAAGTGTCTTTTGGATCACAAGTATAATTTGATCAAAGTTGTTTTGAGCTATATTTTGAGATGTATTTTGTAGGATATATAGTTTTTGCTAAGTCACAAATATAATTGGCCCTATAGAGAAATTTTATAATACTTTGTAACAACTAACAAACATTTATAGAAGTTGGGTTTAAAGTTAAAACACACCCAACTTGAGAGAGCACGAAGTACCAAATTCATACATATGGGTAATTTATTTCATGACATTTGAAACTTGAAAGCTTTATTTTGCTCCAGGTAAAGCTTTGCTTCAGGTTGTCTTGGTTTTCGGTTGTGCCGGGAGCAACTGCACGATGAAAATCGAAGCATTTTAGTTAGAATATGATTTTAGAAACTAATTTTGTATATTTTTATTTTGTTTAATCAGATCATCATAATATCTGTAAATGTACCAATATGAAAGGATAAATTTCAATTTTCACCCACAATATGACTTTTAAAGGGGAAAAAAATTAAAAAAAAAAAAAATTACCTGATAGCAGGAGATGAGAGAGCTCGTAAATCCGAAAGCACCCGTTACACGAGGAGTGATTTTCTTAGGTGCAAGTTGTAGCAAGCCCACAGCAACAACTATATCCAAGGCCGCTTTAACGAGCGCAATAGATCGCTCGTTCGACTTCTGAACCTTACTTCGGTATTGCTCATTCTGAGATTTCGATATCCACCGATTAAAAACAGATTTCGAGTTTGAATTTCACACAGAGGCTATTTACCAGTTATTCTTATAGAGAGAGANAAAAAAAAAACTCTGTGCAGCAAACCTTCAATTTGTCAGGATTCTTGAGTTCCTTCTCCATCTTCTTCATTGATCTAGACAGTCTCCCGATTTCGCTAATCTTAATCAAACCAAGCAATGCCAAGAAACAAATATTAAATAGTCTTAGGCTTTGTTTGGTAAAACTAGCTGATAGCTGAGAAGCTAACTTATAGCTTATATAAGTGATTTTCGAGCTTATAATTGAAAAGCTAGGTCATATGATAAAATTGTTCAATAAAATTAGCTAATAAGCTAACTGAAATAAAAAATCCAACGAGCTTATTGAAAGACTTCCCAAAGAAGCTTATGAAATAAAGCTCGAGCTTTTTAAAGAAGCTCGTCCTACGAAACGAAAGCTTATTTGAATACAGGAAGCTTATAAGCTAACCAAATAAGCTATGAGCTAGCTTATTTGTCTACCAAACATAGCCATAAGTGATTTTCGAGCTTATAGCTGAAAAGCTAGCTTATATGATAAAAGTATTAGTTAAAATTAGCTGATAAACTAGCTGAAATAAAAAATTCAACGAGCTCATTTGAAAAGCTACCCAAAAAAACTTATGAGATAAGCTCGAGCTTTTTAAAGAAGCTCATCCTATGAAACGAAACTTATAAGCTAGCTTATTTGATTACCAAACATAACCTTACAAGTTACAACCCCAAAGAACAAAAAACAAGTCAACTTTTATATTTAGAAAGATAAAGGGAGGGAAAAAAAGGTCAAAAACCGAAGAGTACCTCAACTAATGTGGTGCAAACAGAAGAACCCAACCAACAAAAAAGAGAGATCCTTCCAATCAGCTCCGTACGTTCTTTGTTCTGCATATCACAAAAATCTTTACTTTATCCACTCTTTAAACACTTTCTCAAACGTTTTTCGACTAGGGATTTTCTTTTTTCTTTTTTGCATGTACCTTGTATATGCCAGTCCTTCCCAGCCACACGATTTGATCCAGGAACAAGAAAGTGGACAGGAGGGCATTCTTGGACTGCAAAAGAAAATAAGTAACCGAGTGTCAAACAATAACCGATCAACGATCAGTTAAAACAAAACGATTTTATAAGGATTTTTAGTACCTTCCCCAGCAAAATTAGAGGAAGGGGAGTTCCAGGAGCAGTCGGGCTGATAAGCCCATGAAGATCATTAACAAACTGTAAAAATTGAGAAACATAAACTCAGTTAAGGCCACATAAACTCGTTAACAAAAACTACCCAACATATTTTTCACTGAATATAGTTTTAAGTGCTTGACCTTAAACAAACGAAAGACTTTTCTAGCTAAGCTAGTTGATTTGTCGACATTTTGTGCTGTGCCGGGCTCTCCATTACTCAAGAATTTCGAACCATATTGTATGGCCCTGCATATTTTGTCCCGAGCTTCGGCTTTGTTAAGATACAAAACAGCTAGTGCAAGCTCAGCCCTCGCAACATCCAAAGTACTCATTTTTTTTCTTCTTTTTATCTGAAAATTCTAAAAGAACCTGCAAATGTAAGAATGGGCAGACTCGGTTTAAATTATATTTACGCCGGTATAATATTTAGAACTGCCCATCATTTCAATTTTTTTTTTTAAATTAAAAATGTCTCAACTCCAAACTAAATAAAAAATAAGATTCGAATAATCTTGGAGACAAAACATGTCACTGCATAAGCAATCAGCAGTTCAAACCAATGAAAATCGGTTTTCGTTTCATGTTACTTTCAGATTTATGTCTGCCAGCGTCTCTGTTACCATAAAGACACCTTTTTTTAGACCCTTTTCTTCTTATCAATTCCAGATTTTTTTTTTAGTTTTCATTTGCTTTAGCTTTGTATTAGCTAGAGCATACAAGTGAGCAACTGCAAGAATACATCTTCCTAAAACAAACAACAAATTCAGAGAACCCACTTTTAGAAAACAATTTTACACATACCTTTTAATTTAATAAAAAATAATCCTTTTAATTCAAGAGATTATACAGTTAGCTAGAGAAAAAAAAAAGAATTTTGAGCAGCTGTTTCAACTTTTAACACCTTGAAATCAACAAGGATAACACAACAATATCACATGATCTAACTCTGCAGCTCAGACCAAACTATTGACAGGCAGTTGACATTTTCTTCTGCAAAAGCCCATCATCGTCTACTAATCTAACAAGAAACGCAAAAAAACAAAAACATTCCACCAGAAAAAAAAAACAAAAGAACTCATAGTTTTTGTGAAATAATTATCGAGCGTAGAAGCCGTCAAAATGTAGCTCAAAAAAAAAAGGAAAAAACATAAACATTGAAATTCATATGCTTTCGTACCTGAAGTGGGAAACCAGGGCCTGTATCAATTTGAACGATGAAATCAGTAAAATTTTAGGGATTTGACCTTATAAATACAGATAGCAATTGTGGTTGTTATGGGTTTTTGTGCCGCACCCTTTTCTTGAAAATCACAACATTATTATTTTTTTATTGTTATTATTATTATTATTATTATTATCTGTCCTATTCGTTTTTGAAAAATAAAAAAAATAAAAAAAACAGCGTCCCATAATTTATTTTGATGACGATAATGATTAGATAAGAGGCATGGAACGTGTTGGAGTTGTTGAACTCGAGACTTGCGAGTCGATTTCGAACATACTTGTTAACGGTAGCCCGTCTGAGTGTGAGCACTTTTACAAAGAAAAAGGTTTCAATCTCTTTTTAATTCAATTTGGATCGTTGCATTTTTCTGACAAATATATTAATATCTTAAAAATTTTTAAAAATAAAAAAAAAATAAAAATTGAAGTGTCAATAGACACTGCTGGCATCAAAAAAATTGAACCAATCCAATTGGATTCGCAATGTGACCATGGAGTACAAACTCCATCAAGAAGACACCCTCAAACCACAACTCCAAAGTGGAGACAATAACCCAATATAGGAACCTGAGATTCATACATAGCTAGCCTAAGCAAAACAA